TTTTTTTTTTTTTTTTTTTTTTTTTGAGTCGATGAATTCGCGCTAGAAGATCAAGGCGGGCTGGAGGCAAATTTTTGAAAAATGTAAACCTTCACTCAAAACTGAGCCATCACCCAGAAAAAAGAGAGAGAAAAAAGAAGAAAGGGAAAAAATCCAACGAAAAGACTAAAATTAAAAAATTAGAGATGTATGCTTGGCTGTTGGGGGTTGTTTGGTTGGTTGATTTTTGGTTTGGGTGCTTTTTTTTTTTTTTTTTTTTTTTTTTTTTTTTTTTTTTTTTTTCTTGTAGTGATCACACGCCGGTGGAGGACAGGAGGGGCTGAAGTTTCCTTTTGTAGAGGTACCCTTTACTTGAAGAAGCAGGAAGAAAAAAAAAACAACACACACACCACAAAAAAAAACCTTGATGGCAATTTAAGAAACAATAGACTCAACTCGCGCTGCCGGCTTTGCTACTTCAAGTGTCATTTTCCACAACCAGGCAAGTTTTTTTTTTTTCTCTCTTTTTTTTTTCCCCCTCCTTCTCTCCCAACCAAAGATGTTTCTTTCCTTTCAGTGCGTTTAGATGAGGACGCAGGCTGCCGTAGACGGATACACCAGAGAGCGTGGGGGAGAGGGAAGAGAGGGAGAGAGGAAAGGGGGGGAGGGAAAGAGAGAAAGAGAGAGGAGAGGGAGAGAGAGAGAGAGGGGTGGACCCTGCTGGATGGAGATTCTGTTTTCTCCTTGCTAAAATAGAAGTGATTTGCAGGCTTTCCCTATGGAATCCAGTTTGACTCTCCCCAGAGCTAAACACAAGCACACTAACCCCAAAGGGAGGAGGCGGGGCTCGCGCGTCGTGGCCACTCCCCTCCTTTGCATAACGTCATCCTTCCGCCTTGCCTCGGCCAATCGCGGCCCAGGAGCCGGCTGGCTCTCGGCGCCAGGCCACGCTCCCTCATTATCATCCTTCTCCGGGTGGCGTAGGAGCGCCGGCCAAAGTAACTCGCAAAGTGGCGAGCGAGGGAGCGCGGAGCAGTGGCGGCTGAGCTCGGGCGGAGACTGAGGGGCCGAGCGGAGCGGGAAAGGGACGGAGGGAAAGGGGGCGGTATCCCTCCCAGGGATTTGAGCTGGAGAACTGCATCTGCGTCCCGGCTGTTGCAGTCCTTTAGAGTTCTTCCTGCGCCCCCAAGGCGTACACGCTGTGTCGTCCTAGGGCTGAGGCCACGTCCGGCTCCGTCGTCCTGGGACGTCGGGGGCGAAAGTGGAGGAGACGGGAGAGCCCAGGCAGAAAATCAGGACGCGCGTCCCAGGTGCCCACCTCTTCGCTTTGAGGCGGGGTGGTGGGGTGGAATGCGGGTGCGCGAGGTCCGGGCTGGGCGCTCTCGGAGGGACTCTGCCCGCTCTGCGAGGCCGAGTGAAGCCGGCTCCCGCAGGTGAGGCTGTGTCGGTCCCAGCTACGGGGGCTCTGTCCCTGCCCGGCCTCCAAAAGCGCTTCTCGCTCTGCCTTAACCTAGAGGCCGATGGGATTACTATTCTTAATAGCGCCCCTCTCCCAGGCAGCCTGGGGGTGCGGGAAGGGTGGAAGGAATGGTCTCGATGGGACTGGGTCGGGATGCGTTTTTAAAATTTTTTCTCAAATTCACCCCCGCTCAAAGTAGTAATTATTTGCAGTTAGAGTAACTATCAAAGCGACAACGTATACTATGCCTGATTAAGTGGTTATTTGGTACAGGGTTGGGAGGGGTGGAAAATACCTTCTCCAACTTCGGTCCCTTCCCAGAGGAAAAGGAGGGAGAAAAGAGAAGGAAGGAGAATGGGAAAGAGAAAGTGAGAGGAAAGGAAAAGAGTACAGAAAGAAAGGAAAAAAAAAACTGTCTTCTACCCCAGGCCTTTTGGCATGTATACTTGTGGCTGGCAGAGGAAATAGCTAGATTTTTCTGGTATTGTGCCCCGTCATTTTTTAGCAGGTTGTAACCTAATAAACACGCGGTGAACTTCTGCTCCACGTCCTCCAAGGAACTGCCTGACCGCAGCCAAATCTGCTAAGGACCCCTTTGGGGAAATGCAGGAGAAATCCAGGTCCCTCTCTCCGGCCCTTTGATTTAGGAAGGTCCTGGAATCAGTGGTGGAAAAGTACCCATGCCCATGTGGACGGGCAGAAGACCGGCAAGAGTCGGGCTTGTGCCCCTGGCAGAGCAGGAAAGTAGAGCCACTGCCTGATTCCTGAACTGGATAAAAGAGTGTGTTCCAGGCCTACAGGACCCAGTGTCCTCAAAAGCTGCTTCACCCAGCTTTCATACCATTTATTCTTCATGTCTTATGTGCTGAGGACTCTCTCCCTGGTGCCAGAATTACTGCCATCTCCTCCAAGAAACCCCGGAAGAACTTGGTCTGATTCATCAGGTTCCTCATAGCCTCTACCAGAATTCCTGATATATAGCAGGCACTCAAGAAAGCTATGATGGCAGAGAGATTAGAAGGACTGTAGGCTTGTGGGGAAAGGGAAGAAAATGTAAAGCTTTATCGAATTTAAAGGCACAATTGAACTGGGCCTGCTATAGGCTTCCCAAAGCTCCAAGTTTACCCTAACACTCTATAGCCAAGGACTCCAAAGATAATCCCCTTCCTCAAAGGGTACCCTTCAAGTTAGAGGATCTGGCCACTTTCCTACCACTGAGTCCCAGAAGGCCCCAGCAAAAGATGCAAGCCCCCCTCTCTTCACCCACCTAGGGCCCCCCTTCTACTTTGCAGCGAACAGTCTACAGGACTCCAAGTTGATATGGTGGGTGACAGCTCCACTCCTGAGAAACACAGTGGGGAACAGATGCTGAAGAAGGTACCAAGGAAAGGAGACACAGCTGCTTGCAGGAACAGAATGACCAGGGGACACACAACAGATAAATATCTGGGGGGGGGCAAGCAGAATCTAGATGTATATGAAAAGGGTGTGTTTGCTGAGGCACATGAAACTGACTGTCCCAAACGAGAGATTAACCCAGAGAAAGAAAAC